AAAAAACCCCGGGCCAGGGCTTATCGATACTAGCTGGTCCATCTTACTTTGGAAGATATTTGACCCCCAGATCTTCAAGCCAAAGCAGCTGAGGTGTTTTCTTGATCTCGTTTAGGAATCATTGCCGTGTTAGTTTCAGAAAAGTTCTTTGAAGATATTGAAAACTTTGTTCTCCTTCTATATATTGCTGCAGATGATGAAAGAGATATTCATGGATATGGTTTATTTTCCCGAGGCTGGCGGTTTAAAAGAGTTCCCTTCACCAGAAGATCTCAAGTACAAAATTGTAATATCTACAAAGCCTCCCAAAGGTAACTTAAAAAGGGACAAGGATTCTGAGTCAGATGTATCAGGAAAGGCGTCATCAGATTTTTCAGATGACCAAGTAGACGATGGGAAGGTACTTGCAGTTCATATATAGGAGTTTTAATTTCTCAGTGGCATCTTAAATTTCTCTCTTTGCTTGCGATGACTTGTGTAGACTGAGGAAGAAACCAGCGAGGCCAAAAATGAAGAGGAAGGATTTGATCAAGAATCCAGCAACTTGGATTTCCTCACCTACAGTCGCCTGATAACGATTCCTTCTGGAAATGCTAAAAATGGATTGAAGGAAGCACTAACCATCGATAATGGTGGAATTAGACGGCTGAGTTTGAGGGAGCAGAAGTTCAAGAAAGCTACTGAAATGTATGGAACCGAAGTCATGAAGTAAGTATCACTTCCCATTCAAAAAGGCAATTACTTTTAAGCTAGTTCTTTTGTTTCTTGCTCTAAGCTCACTACTATTGTAAACTAGATTCACACAGAAGAATCTGTTGAGGATATATCCCAAGGCCACACGAGTAAATTCCTCTAACTATAGGCCCTACAACGGTTGGATGTACGGAGCTCAAATGGTAGCTTTCAACATGCAGGTTTGCCGTTTATCTATTCTCGGTCTTTTTAAAACCATCTGACTAAATCTTGATACATGTTGCGTCTTTTGATTTTCAGGGCTATGGAAGAGCACTCTGGATGATGCATGGTATGTTTAGGGGGAATGGTGGATGTGGGTACGTGAAAAAACCGGACTTTATGATGAAAAATGGTCTCGGTGGAGAAGTGTTTGACCCAAAAGCGAAATTACCCATAAAGACAACTCTAAAAGTGAAAGTATACATGGGCAAAGGATGGGACTCTGGTTTCCAGCGAACATGTTTCAACACTTGGTCTTCTCCTAACTTCTACACAAGGGTAAGCACCTTGATTTAGATGTCTACTACATAGTTGATTCGCTACTGTGGCTCTGTTTCATGTTGTTGATAGCAATATTGTGTGAATGAAACCAGGTGGGGATAACAGGAGTAAGAGCTGATAAAGTGATGAAGAAAACAAAGAAAGAAGAAAAGACATGGGAGCCATTCTGGGACGAGGAGTTTGAGTTTCAGCTAACAGTACCGGAGCTCGCTCTGCTCAGAATAGAAGTTCACGACTACAACATGCCGGAGAAGGACGATTTCTCGGGTCAGACATGTTTGCCTGTGTCAGAGCTGAGACAAGGCATACGTTCTGTTCCTTTGTATGATCGCAAAGGCGAGAGACTAGTTTCAGTTACACTTCTCATGCGGTTTCACTTTGTTTAAAATAAACAGAGTTTCTTTTACTTTTTCGCATATGAAAAACGGACTAAATCAATATTTGTCAGAATAAAAAAAGTTGGTTGACTTAGTCTTTTTTGACAACAGATTCTTTATTTGACTTCTAGAATAACACTGAAATTGAATCATCGTATTGGTCGAATTTTTAATTAAAATAAAAACATCCAGGTTCTCTCTTTCTCTGCAGTTGCATCCTCACACACACTCTTAAAAACAATCCTCTAACCAAATTCAATCTCATCATAGTCATAGCAATGGAGAATCACAAGAGTTTCTTCACTTACATTGACCATAAATTCAGCGATTCAAGTCTCAACTTTGATTCCTCTGCTTTCAGCGATTGTAACAGTGACAGATCCTGCGACTTTCCAACAACTTCCTCCGAGAGCCGTCAACCAAAACTCTTCCTCTCTTGCGCCGTTGATAATTCCGATGATTTGATTCGATGTCTCATAACACATCTTGAGTCATCTTCTTCTTCGATCGAGGAACAGAAGCAAGCTGCTATGGAGATTAGACTCTTATCAAAGAACAAACCAGAGGAACGTAACAAAATCGCTAAAGCCGGTGCGATTAAACCGTTGGTTTCTTTGATCTCGTCTTCCGATCTTCAGCTTCAGGAGTATGGAGTCACTGCGGTTTTGAATCTATCTATCTGCGATGAGAACAAAGAGATGATTATTTCTTCCGGTGCGATTAAACCGCTCGTTAATGCGTTGCGGTTAGGAACACCGACGACGAAAGAGAACGCTGCTTGTGCTCTGCTTCGGTTATCGCAATTGGAGGATAACAAAATCGCGATCGGAAGATCTGGAGCGATTCCTTTACTAGTGAATCTTCTAGAAAATGGCGGATTCAGAGCAAAGAAAGACGCGTCGACGGCGTTGTACTCGTTGTGTTCGACGAACGAGAACAAAATCAGAGCTGTGGAATCTGGGATTATGAAGCCGTTGGTGGAGTTGATGGCGGATTTTGAATCGGAGATGGTTGATAAATCGGCGTTTGTTATGAATTTGTTAATGTCGGTGCCGGAATCGAAGCCGGCGGTGGTTGAGGAAGGAGGAGTTCCGGTGCTTGTGGAGATTGTTGAAGCGGGAACACAGAGACAGAAGGAGATGAGTGTGTCGATATTGTTGCAGCTTTGTGAAGAGAGTGTTGTGTATCGAACCATGGTGGCTCGTGAAGGAGCGGTTCCTCCGCTCGTGGCTTTATCGCAGAGTAGTAGTGCGAGTCGTGGTGCTAAGGTAAAGGCTGAGGCGTTGATAGCGCTCCTTAGGCAACCAAGACAACAACAACAACACTTTGAATCCACCGACAACGAGAGATAACACTTTGATTTGGGCTTTTTATTAATGGGCCTTTGTAGAACATGTTTCATCACATCTCTTGTTAATTAATGGACGGGATAAGTTGAGCATATTCAAGTGTATATGATCGATGGACAATTAAACATGTCGATGTGTTTTGCATCAAAGTTGCATTACTTGCGTAGAATCTATACAAAAGTCGCATCGAAACAAGTATTGTCTATTTAGGAGATAATGTTGTGAACGATTTAGAGAACAAGATTCCTATAGAACTAACAAGACAAAAAAAAAAAAGGAACAAAAAAGCAATAGATTCTTTTTGTTTTGGTCTTGCATCTATTTTTCTACATGCGATATGTTTTTTCATCACTATGGAAGAACCGTAATCTACATGTAGAAGTAGGCTGACATGGGCATTTGGGAGAACCGGTCCGGTTCGGTTTGGAAACTTAAGTATTTCGGTTAGCAACCAAAATCGCTAAAATAGACCAAAATTAAAGTTCGGTTTGTATGACCAAATTTCGGTTCAGTTCAATCAAAAAAAAAGGGTCACCCATGATGGACTTTTCAGCCCAAAAGTAAAAACCGAAATTGCCAAACTTGAGTTCAGTTGGGTTCGACCAAACTTCAGTTCAATTTGGCTCGACCAAATCTCAGTGGCCAATGGGATTCGGTCTGAGTGCCATGATGCTTGTGGAGAATGACGAGTTTGAAAACTTTTCCATCGTTAAGAGCAGTGAACTATACAATCACATCATCCTTAACAGTATTGGCAAAAAATTCAATAATATTGACAACAAATAATCTGTATTGAAAAAAAAAATTAAATAAATAAATAAATAATCTGTATTGAAAATTACGTTATGAGCGAAAAAAACAAAAAGGTTAAAAAAACCAACAACAACACATGAGCTGTTTCACATGATGATAAATGATTTGCTCATCAATGACAAAATAAAAATTGTTGATTTTTTTCTACGGCGACACGCGTACCACCAATTTCTCAGCTATTGGCTACACACATTTCGCCACGTTTTTTTTTTTACTGTGATTCAACGGATGTGTTTTAGTCAACTACTCTGTTTGGTTTAAATACTAACTTTAATTCGGACAGCCGACAGATCATTCACATTTTTCTTTTTTTTAATCTACTAGATTATAACCCGCGGTGTACCGCGGGACTATAATTTTTTTTTTAAATAAAAATTTAATTTGTTTAGTAGATTAAAAATATATATGATTTAATGGTTTGTATTTTTTAAATGTACAATTCTTATATCTATATATTTTTAGTGTACAATTACTATGTTTAATTTTTACTGTTTAAAAATATAGAAACAATAACATACAATTCATTAAGTTAAAATCTAGATTATAACTATATAATTTAAATTTTAATTATATTTATTTTGTTAAAATTGTTTGTTTTGTTTAGAGTTTAAGATAGTATAATTGTATTTTGATTGTTATATGTAGGATTTTACCCGTGGTATACAGTCTCGTATTACTATCGACCCAAACATGTCCTACCATCTAATACCGTTCAGTGAAATTAAACATATCTAATGGATTTCACCCCTCGTATACCGTCTCGTATTACTATCGACCCAAACCCGTCCTACCATCTAACCCCGTTCAGTGAAATTAAACATTATTTTATTATTTTTGGTTTAATAATACTTTAATTTAAAAGATATATAATTCATATCAATTTAAAAGTTTTTTTTTAATGGTTATTTAATTGTTGTAAATTTCATATATTATAATATTATAAATCCGTCATACCATCTAATCCTGTTCGGTGAAATTAAACATTATTTTTTGTTTGAATAATACTTTTATTAAAACATTTATAATTCAAATCAATTTAAAGTTTTCTTTCAAATGATTATTTAATTTTTATAGATTTCACATATTATATATATTCTAAATATTTTTTCCGTTAAATATTCTAAACGTTTAATAAACTTTAAATAACTATAATATTTATCTTTCAATAAAGTATAATATTAATAATGTCCTAAGATTTCTCCTTTTCTTAAGTAATTAGAATTGATGGAAATATATTAGATAAAGAAATGCTAGTAATTAAGAATCTTAATTAATTGATAATAACTAATGCCAATGACATTCTTTGTAAATAAATTGCAAACTCGAGGATTTATTTCATAAAGTGTTGCAAAAATGTATACATAGATTTTTGTACTAAGAAATTTTTTTAGATATCATGGTTCTTTGAGATAGTCAGATAGAGATATAAATGTGTTTCACAAACACATCAAATCACTCTGTTTCTTTTTTCTCTCTGGCTTAACTTTCACAACAACAACAACAAAAAAAGATGAAGGAATCATTCAAAGTGTGTTTCTGTTGTGTAAGAAGCTTCAAGGTGAAATCAAGTGAGCCACCTGAAGAAATCAAGAATCTTTTCCATGATTACTCTCAAGACGACAGGATGTCTGCTGATGAGATGCTCAGATTTGTGATCCAAGTTCAGGGAGAAACACACGCTGATATAAACTACGTCAAGGATATCTTCCACAGACTTAAACATCATGGCGTTTTCCATCCTCGTGGAATTCATCTTGAAGGATTCTACCGTTATCTCCTTAGTGATTTCAACTCCCCATTGCCTGTGACCAGCGAGGTAAGATTTTTGGAATATAACATCTCTTTGCTTTTGAGAGAGAGTTTTGTTTCCTTACAAGATTTTGGTTTCAGGTTTGGCAAGATATGAATCAGCCTTTATCGCATTACTTCTTATACACGGGACATAACTCTTACTTGACTGGGAATCAGTTGAACAGTAATAGCAGCATCGAACCGATTGTGAAAGCTCTGAGAAAAGGAGTTCGTGTGATTGAGCTTGATTTATGGCCTAACTCTTCGGGAAAAGAAGCTGAAGTTCGTCATGGCGGGTTTGAATCTTACCATAAAACCCCTTCCTGAATCACTTAATAATTTAGGTATTTTCTTGATTTGTTTTGGTTATGATCATCTCAGGACATTAACGAGTTGTGAAGATCTGCAGAAATGTCTTAACGCGGTTAAGGAGAACGCATTTCAGGTGTCTGCTTATCCTGTTGTGCTTACTTTAGAAGACCATTTAACTCCAAATCTTCAGAAGAAAGTCGCTAAGGTAAGATTCTGATAAATTCATGGAATCTTGTTTAGAACATACAGTTTGGTTGATGGTGAAAATGTTTGTAGATGGTGAGTAAGACGTTTGGAGGATCATTGTTTCAATGTACGGACGAATATACAGAGTGTTTTCCTTCACCAGAATCACTTAAGAATAAGATTTTGATCTCAACAAAGCCACCAAAAGAGTATCTTCAGACCCAAGTCTCTCAAGGTTCAACAACGGATGAATCCATTAAAGCTAAAGTAAGAAAGAAAAAAACAGAGTTAAAGTAACCATTAATTAGTGTTTCTTGATGTTTTCTGAGAGTCTTGTGTTGTGACAGAAAATTGCAGATGCAGAAGAACAGGTTCAAGAAGAAGATGAGGAGAGTGTAGCGATCGAATACAGAGACTTAATCTCAATTCACGCTGGAAACCGCAAGGGAGGACTGAAGAACTGCTTGAATGGAGATCCTAACCGAGTCATACGGTTAAGCATGAGTGAGCAGTGGCTTGAGACTTTGGCTAAAACACGTGGATCTGATTTAGTAAAGTTCACACAGCGGAATCTTCTCAGGATATTTCCCAAGACAACACGGTTCGACTCCTCTAACTATGATCCTCTCGTTGGATGGATTCATGGTGCTCAAATGGTTGCCTTCAATATGCAAGTAATAGTTTTAAGTTTTAACACTATCCTCTCTATTATTAGCAGAGATTTTCAGTAGTAAACACCAACTATACTTGTTTTGTGTAAATGCAGAGTCATGGGAGGTATTTGTGGATGATGCAAGGAATGTTTAAAGCCAATGGTGGATGTGGCTATGTGAAAAAACCTGATGTTTTGCTCTCCAATGGTCCTGGAGGTGAAATCTTTGACCCATGTAGTCAAAAACTCCCGATCAAGACTACTCTTAAGGTTTGGTCTTTGTTTCAGTTTCTGTTTTCTGTTCTTGAAAAGCGAGAAAACATCATAGCTTTGTGTCTGTGGTGTATGATTAGGTGAAGATATACACTGGAGAAGGATGGAATATGGATTTTCCTTTAGATCACTTTGATCGATACTCTCCTCCTGATTTCTACGCAAAGGCAAGAGTACATTCATATGTAAAACACGCAATAAAAACCATGGTTTAATGGGTCTATGGAGCAGCTAATAAACCCTAATTAGGTTTCTTGCCTATCAAGTCAACCGACAAGACTCAAAAATGTAGATGTTTTTCTTTCAGGTCGGAATCGCAGGGGTTCCATTGGACACAGCAAGTTACAGAACAGAAATAGATACAGACGAATGGTTTCCGATTTGGGACAAGGAGTTCGAGTTCCCATTGCGTGTTCCTGAGTTAGCTATTCTGTGTATCACAGTCAAAGACTACGACAGTAACACTCAGAACGATTTCGCTGGCCAGACATGTCTTCCGCTGTCGGAGGTCAGGCCGGGTATTCGTGCCGTCCGGCTCCATGATCGTGCCGGGGAGGTCTACAAGCACGTGAGACTGCTCATGCGGTTTGTCTTGGAGCCTCGTTAGTTGCTTCGTGGATAATGTTCATTTCATCACTCGTGTCAATGTCGGTACACGTTTTTTATGTTTGTAATGTTAAGGTGTCGGTACACATTAGTCGGTCCTAAGCCACACGATAATAAGAGATGGGAAAATAAAAGTTAATTAAACGTAACTAAGATCAGCAAAATTATGAATTTTATGACTTTAGTATAATCAATTTGTTCAAACAGTCGATAAAGATAATACTATTGTTTAAGCTGTTGTTATGGTCCACTAACCACTAATGCCAATTGCTTAATTATGGCAATTCACACTAACGCAAAATTTCATTATGGCAATTCACTATGAGTCTTTGACACTAAAGCAAAAGTACTGCTTCATAATGGCAATTATCACTAAAGCAACATTTCTTTATTATGCCATAAAACAAATTTAAAATACTGTTTGTTGAATTATCACTTTCACAATAGAAGATTAGTTGATGGATCGTCGTCATTGTAGTGCAAATAAAGTTTTTTTTTTTTTTTTTAATATTCAACAAACAACGTTAGGAAATTTAGATG